ACCCCTCCTTAGCCCCGGCAATTCCCGGGCGGGATGGCGTGGGCGGCGCCGGGGGATCCGCGCCGTGTTTTGCCGCGGGCAGCTCCCGCCCGCCCGCCCGGCGCGGTGCTGCGCAGGGCCGCGCTCGCCGCCGGTGTTTGAAATGCCGCGTCCGCGCTCGGGGCTCTCCGTGACAACACCTGCGCAGCGCTGCAGCGGCCACGGCGCGGCGGGGACCGGCCCAGCGGAGTGCGGGAGCCGGGAAGAGTTTCCCCCGGGCAGGGCAGGGCGCGCAGCCCGGTGCGGAGCTGTCCGGCAGCTCTCTCCCTGCCCTGACAGCCTCCGCCTTTCTCCGCACGCGTATCTTCCCTCCGCCGGCGCTTTCCACGCCGCTTCGGGGCCGGAAGACCTCTGACGGTTTTTTATGCTCCCTCCTTTCCCTTCCCTGTTGGGCGGTCACAAGTTCAGGCTCCCTGTCTGGTCAGTTTTGATGGGCACGGTACAGCTGCCTGTCCCCGCTCTCGTGTGCGTTCCTGCTCTCGGACTCCCGCAAGCACAAACACGTCGGAGAAACTGCTCCCGGTCACCACAAATAACCCGTCCTCTCGTTCGGGATTTTCCCTGTTCATGCCACAATTGCCGTGCGGAACTGACGTCTCTTAATTAACCAGAGATAATTAAGAGGAAAGATAAGCGAGTACGTGCATGTGTCCGTGCTGGCGTGGGCTAAACGCCGCTCTGGTTGTGTCCACGCCCGAGGGCGCACACGCACACACTTCCAAGCTCTAAAGGTGCGTGCGAGGGGACAAACGTTATACCCAGAGTCGTCCCCTCCCTGGGAGCGGGCCCTCTCAGGGCTCCTACTCCTCATTCATCCCGCTTCGTTTCCCCCCGATTCGCAGGCGGGGGCGATGCACCGGGAGCGCCCCGACGGGCGCGGCTGGCGGGCCCGCGATCCGCAGCGGGGCGGCCCCAGCCCGGCCCGGCTGCTCCTGGGCCGGGTACGCAAAGCTGCCGATTGCCACCGGTGCGCAGCTCTAGGAAGCTTTTGCCATCCCCGGCACGAGTGGCAATTAGTTCATTAACTCAGTAACTAAAAGAGATCCACCCCAAATCCCAAACCAACCAACAACAATATAAAAAAGACAGGAAGACGCAGGGATGCCCTTGGCGAGGCTCGGCGAGCAGAGGGGCTGCCGCTTCTTGCTCTCGCCCTGGCCGTGCCGGGCGGTTCCACCGCGACTCTTCCACCGGGCTTCCCTGCCGGGACTGGCCCGGGAGAAGCTGCGCGGAGCCGCGGGTACCACCGGGCCAGGAGCGGCGCTCCGGCAGCCGGGGAGGCCGGCCCGCATCTGCCTCCCCTTCGCTGTCTTGCCGGGCCCCGGCCAAGCCGGTGCGGGCGAGCCGCGACACTGCGAGTGGCAGAGCAGGGACGGGCAGAGCTGCATGCCCGAGGGGGGGACCCGAACCCGCCACGGCACAGGCGACAGCCGGAGGGCACGGGGGACCTTCGGTGCGGCATCTGCGGGGCTTCAGCAGCGCCGAGACCCTCCGGTGTCTGCCGGCGGTGCGAGCCGGGGCTGCGGCGGGAGGGAGCCCGAGGCTGTCGGGGACGGGCGGAGAGCACGGAGCCCTGCTGCGGCCTTCCAGCCGTCTGCAGCTTGTTTTCACTCCTTTCCTGCCCCGGTCCCTCGTCTCCTTGTGCCCGAGTCTGGCCGGGGAGCCTGCCCTTCCCCACTTTCCGGAGTCCCGGCAGGCCCTGCCGGAGGAAACGCGGCCCCGGCCAGCCCAGGGCGTGGGGCGGGTCCGTAGTACTCCCGTTCGCAGGGAAAAATGCTTCGCGATGCGAGCTCTCCTCTGCCAAGTCACTTTGTTGCTTTATTTATTTTTTTTAAACAAACTTTTAGTCATTTATGGTCTCTCCCTCGCCTCCTCTTCTTCCCTTCTCCCTGCAACCTGCTAATTTAACACTGGAGCGCGTTATGGCAGTATTACAGGGAGAGAACGAGAGAGAGAAAACAACAATACTGCAATGATCCAAATGATACAGTAGAATTATAGCAATTATAGTTCTGCTCGGAGAAGAAAACCTTGCTGAGCTCAGCCAAACAAACTGATACCTTGTACGGATAACAAGCCCGGGGACTGACAGCCGGTGCTGAGAGAGGCAGGAGGGCACAAACGGAAATATTTGCCTTATTCCACTCCAGCCAGCCTACATTAACACCCTTGGCTGCCGCTGCCAGAACAATATCTGCTCCGGCTCCTCGCACCGGGGCCTCCGCGATGAGTTTCTCCCTAGGGACCGGCCTCCGCACCTACCCGCGCCCGGCTCCGCTCGGGCCCTGCCGGGAAGGAGCAGTGGGAGCGCTGACGCTGCCGGGACCGGCCCTCTCCGCAAACCACCCAGCCATTCCCAGCGCGGGGGCGAGGGCGAGGGCGGTGCGCACTGTCCTGGGACCCTCCGGCCCGGCCCGGGCGCCCCTCGCCGTGTCCCCTCCGAGCGGGCGGCCCCGGCGGGGGCGACGCCCGCCCCGCTTGGCCTGGAAGCGTGGAGCAGATGCCCAGCTCCAGCGCTGCTCCGCCCGGCCGCGCAGCGGGGCAGGGTGACCGCGGCTGCCGCGGCACCACCGCCCGACGGCTGCCCGCGGCGGCTGCAGCAGCAGCGCACACCCTTCTCCGGACCGGCCCGGGGACGGCGTTTGCAGTGGGCTTTGAGCTTGTTACTGTTTTTCCCTGTTCATCTTTCTTTCGCGTTACACAGAGCCCCGTCGTTGGGAGCGCTCCCCCCCGAAACCATCCTTGCGAGGGGACGTGGCTACAAAATGGCAGTTCGCTGTCAGGCTTGGGGAGAGGTGTTTGATCTTAGGGCGGAGACAGGGCGAAGCTCTGTTTCAGACGTTGTGGTTGTAAATGTGCAGGGTCGGTTCAAGACCAGGTGAGAAATTGCGTTCACCTCGCAGGGAATAGCGTCTGCCTCGGCTGGGGAGGATTTGCCCTCACTGCGGCGGCCACCGGAGACACAAGGTTGTAACCCATCCACTGAGCACACGGCAGCTTTTGGTCCGTGAGCAATTTGTACCCATCCCGTCCCCGGCGCCTCCCGCAACCCTCGATACAAGCTGCTGAAGTCGGGAACCCCTCCGGTGGGTTCCCGCTCCCTGCCAGCCCTGCGCATGGGTGGAGCCGCAGCCGCAGCCCATCCCCAGGCATTTACACAAGCTGCTGGTTGTTTATTTTTTACTCTCTTTGCAATGGAGAAGAAAACGATAACAACTACCGAAAATCCTGATTTATCGCTATCTACTATAGATATCACAATTCGATTTATCACTGTCTACTTTATGCGGAAGAAAAAGGATTGTGTAGAAGCTGTCTGTAGGGAGGTACAGAAACTGTACTTCTGCCTGCCCTCTCAGCTCTTCGCTGTAATTTCCTCCCCGTTCCTCGACGTGCTTGGCGCCCTGGTCCCATGCTCCCCCTGGCTCTGTGCTGTGGGAGCCACAGCTCCTGGGTAACCCAGGGTCAGCCGCAGAGAACATGAGTCTGAAGCGCCCCACACCCGAGCGCGCAGGAGAGTGAAACACAGGAGACCACTGGTCTTCAAGAGATGTGATTTAGTCTCATTCCTCCCCCCACCCCGCCAAGCGTTCAGGACTATGGTCTTGTGTACAAGAGTAGTACAGCTGAACATTGGGGAAGGTGAGATGCCTTGGTACCAGGCAGTGGAGAAATGCAGTGGAGAAATGCATGATGCCGTTTAGATGTCATGAACTGGCACATGATTCCCCTTGTGAGCCTCACAGCGTTTTATCTCAATCCATATTCACGATGTATTTTTCAGCTTTATGGAGAGTCCTGTTCTGAAACCTTTTCTGGGCACAGTCTTGGCTTTGCACAGTTCAGCCCTGAGCTGTGGAGATGGGGGGTTGCCCTTGATTGTAACCACCAGAACTACTCGATTCTTCTGCTAGAGTATTGTGAAACACTTACAAAAATTGGCTAATACCCCATAGACGGTCATGCGGGATCTCAGAACAGCTGCACATCCCCTATAGCCGCGATCAGACAGCTGGAGGAGAACCAGCATCTCTTTGTGTCCCCTGGGGCTTTGACAAGTCACTGGTCACCTGAATACTACACCTCAGAGTTCAATGGCTTAACAACCTTCTCATTTCAGGTGAGATAACTGCTATCCCGTCACTGCAGATTGACAATTTAAGCATTGGGTAATCCATACCCAGCAGCTATCACTAGGGCACTGCACTAAAATCTCTTTGCAGAATGATGTTGGACTTCAGCACGTTTGAATTCACATCCAAGAGAAAAACTCATTTTGCAAGTATTGCTTTTTTTGGACTCTCATCACCATTTTCACCAGTTTTCAGCCTATTGCCCTGGACGTGAGGCTGCAGCAGCTGCTTACGGGGTGAGCTGGGAAAGCTCTGTGCACCAGGTGTCAGTGCAGGTCACAGTTAGATGGACTGTCTGGCACTGGCAGTGCCACTATTTTCTGCCTGTGAAACCAGCCCCAGCTTGTGTCGCTCACTTTGGTTTTAGTGCAAGCTCAGGGAGCAATTTCAGTAATCGTTGGCATCTGGACAGAGGTTTGACATCAGCAGTGGTGGTGACTCCGGAATAATTATTCGTAAACTTCAGATTTAGCCCATGTCTATGTGTAGGCAAAATCTGGGCCACATTCCATAGATGTAATTTTAAAAAAGTATTT